AGTAGCACTTTAACGAATATCGAGGTGATCTTTTCTAAATCCAATCTGCATGGGGTTTATTTTTACACAACTGCTTGATTTAAGCTGGTATACGGGGTTCACTTACCCTATATCATGTGATACCTACTTTGATCAGACCGTAGTCTTTGTTTTCGTTGATGCTATTCCACGAACATTCTTTCCAGTTTGAAGAAACTGAACGGGAAAGGCGTTTTCGTAGTTTCAAAAACCTCTAAAAATAATTATTTATGCAATTTTATACAAAATTAGAAGGGTAACTACACTGAATAGTCAGATTTTGGTTTTATGCTTATTAATTTTCCAATTAAACAAATTTATTGCTAACCTAAAAGCTTATACTCTGCTAATGCGTCGATCTCTCCTCAAAGCTAGGTTTATGATAAGAGATAGCTTAGTATGTGTCAGTGAGTTGAGTTTCTTTGATGCGTTGTTCTCTCCTATGTTGCGAGAATCAGTTTTCTTAAAGTTATCCAAAAATGATTTTTTTGGGTCTGCGATGGTTAAGTACGCTGATGACACTGCAATAGTTTCCCCAGTGTGGAAGGAGAATGAGACTATGATTAATTGATAATAGTACGGCACTAATACGTGATTTTATGAATTGGTCTAAAATAAATGGTATAAAAAGTAACAAAAAATGTAAGGAAATAGTTTTTTTGGAAAGTGAACAAAAGTGTCGACGAGTTTGAAGCTGTTTATAGTATACCACAATGTAGCAGTCTAAAAATACTTGGGGTTACTTTCCAGAGTACTTGTCGCTTCGAAGACTATGTTGAGGAGATATTATACAAATGTAGTAAGACCATTTATGTAATTAGATCATTATGTAGGGAAGAGTATACCCAAAGGGAAGTAGATCTGTTATTTCAAACACTGATACTATCGAGAATTAATTACGCTCTTTCAGTTTATGGTGCACCTTTGCCTGAACTTAAAGGTGTTCAGTATTTTCTCGATAGATGTTATAAACGTCGGTATATTTTACAGCGTCAGGATATCAGAAGCATATTAGAAAATGTAGATAAGAAAATTGCAGCCAAGGTTAAGAAAGCTGACAACGATCCTTTAAAAATATTAATGCCTATTGCCAAAATTAGTTCATATAATTTAAGAAGGTCAAATACCACTATGCCTGCGGTTAACACTGAACGTTTTAAGAATAGTTTTTCTAACAGATTAATTTATAAATATTAGTATTTTTAGTCCTTTTATGTTTTAGTCTCGTAGCGCACCACCTGATTGTATTTTATCAATGCAAGAGAATATTAAGTACTTCATATTCTCTTGATCAATGTGAATAAAGACTTATTATTATTATTATTAGTGTGTAAATGAGTGAAAAAGTGCGAAATTGCTAGAACGACGAGGCAATTGTAAATAAGAAAATTTTATTTGTTTTTCATATACTTCATGGAAATTTTGCAAAACTTTATGCTTCAAGCTAGATTAACGTAGGCGGAGTAACTTACGTCATGTCCCATAGATGTAGTGCTCATTTTGCTGGGCGCTGAACCAACCTCTGGCAAAGCCACGAAGACGGTCCAACAAAACACCAACATGATCGCGTAGATTGTACTGATTCTCATGATTATCTTTGGGAAATAAAATTAAATATCGTTAAGTATGAATAAAAGAAATAAAGATAATTGTTATTAGCTAGACAAGGGCACTAAGACACCAAAAGTGGTTGGTTTATTTTTATTTATATATTTTTCCTTCGATTAATTAAATCAAAAATCGTTTGTGACTCGCATTACTGTGTTTGTATTCCTTATAATTACTGCAAAATTCGGTTGTTCAACCCCAAAGGTACCAGCAATTGAGTCTATAAGAAACTAAGAGAGAGACTAAGAAAAGAGAATAAGAAAAGAGACTAAGAAAAGTCTATCTTCAATACCGACCTAGCTGTTTAGCTTCGTTTTTTAAAAGATAAAGCACTAATACAGGTCTTTGCACCATCACATGATGGCTCTCACCCCCCCCCCCCCCCTTCCCCTAGGAAACTGAATTCTTTCATACGTAAATCAGATTAGACCAGACTCTCAATTGCTCTCTTGTCATGGCTGCCATCACGTGATGGTGCAAAACATGGTTAATAACAAAAAAATGTTAACATCGGGGAGGTGTGGCTAGCTGCTGGGATTTGATTTCCTTTTTTTTTTAGGTTCTAGTTTGGGCAAATCGACCTTTACCCTCAATAAACCCTTAGTACAATCTATAAAAAAATGAAGAAAATTCTAGCTACATTTTTAAAAAATTGAATAAATTAAGAAAAAAGCATGTTGAATATTTTTTATTAATATCTATCCTATTTTTCTTGAAAAAACAAGCAACAATACGAACTTTGAAACAGTAGACATTAATTTACTAAATACTCTTTTCGTAAATACATTTTTTGCTATATATCTTTTCTTCTTCTAAAATTTGAAGCATTGAACATTGAAGAATTGAAGAAATGTATTGATCAATAAAATAGTAATTTTCTAAATTTTAATTTTTAATTCTATTAAAATTAATTAATTCTGAGATTGTTATAGAAAATGTAAAGCGTTGTTGAACGTCTAGTTATTGAGTCTATATAAAATACCATATTATTAATTATCATCATCATCACTATTATCATTATCATTATTTTTATTTTTATTATTACAAATATTACACAAAATGCTTTAAAAAATCTAGTTGCCAAAGTGAAGCTGGATTTATGGTAATGAGACAAGCTAAATGTAAGCAATACGTCAGCAAAGGATGGCCTATAAAGATCAATAGACTATGAGTTTTAAAAACATATACACTTCGAATTCATGGAAAATCTGCTAAAATTTTATACTTCAAAGAATAAAGTTTTGAATTTTTCCGACAAAAATTTGAATTAGTCTATACAGCAGGTCTAGCAGGTCTATACACATTCAAAATAAGATCAAGAAAGTCTCCTCTTGCATAGGAGTGCAAGTACGATCAGTAGCAGCAGTAAGGGGGACTCGCGGAGGGGGTACCGGGAGGCCCGGGTATTGCCTCCGCCAAGTACCATGCGGCCCCCGCGGGTATTACCCACGCGATGATTCCTTTACTGCTGCTGTGTTTGCGAATCTATGATAAGAGTATATTTAAGAGTATATTTTTTTCCTTGTTTCGGGAAGATACGCCAAACTACGTGTAGCGTCGCAAACGAAGGTTAAAATATTTCCTAGATATAGATGGATGACATCAGGAGCATTCGAAACAAAACTATGCGCAGGCTGCGAACTCAGGTGTTGGATCGTTTGGACGCCGACTTCGCCTTCACGACATTTACAGAAGGAGACATAGAAGAAATCATGGACGACGAAAGAGCTGAAAGAATAATCAACTTAATGCCAGAAGGTAACTACCGTCTTGAATTGACGTTCATAAAGTATTTAGATGGCGATTGGGTGATAGAGAGGGGTCGTWATCCTATCCGGGCGTCTGGTAAGCAGAACCTGTTTGTATTGAACAAGGATACGAGACCTGGTGCGATGGTGGGTATAGACGCGTTRTTCTATGAAGTTGCTTATCCTGTTACTGTAGTTATCTACGGCGCGTATAAGAATGAAGAGCCAGACGTTAGAAAGCTCAGGCCGATGAGACATCCCGGCAACTGCGTGGGTAAGTTGGTGAGGGAGTTCTTTGAGGATTCTTCCTGTGGTGGTAAGTTAACCCCAAAGAGAAAAGAAGCCATAAGAAAATGGGAGCATGCTACTCATAGGGCTGGAGCGACGATAGATAACATCAAGAAGCTAGAAACCCTCTTAGAAAGGCGCATACATGTGAAAGATATCACGGATGGGTACATTTATCCTGGGACGCATAAGTATGGCGGTAGGGGTGCTCCTATTGTCATTTACCAACACAATGCGCATGCTTGGAGAGAACTAAGATTTCCTAAGAAGAAAGAGACAAAGGTCTACGAGAATTCTCCATTGGTGGAGTTAATCCATGAGAATTCTATTTGGCTGATGGATTCAGAAGGAAGTCAGTTTATGACGCAAGATGGTACACTTTACCGCCCCGAAATCGAACATCTACGCATCCAGAGCGCCTGCGAAACCCTTGGGGAAGACTTCTCAGATGAAGTGCTCAGCTCTCGCAGCTTGGACTTCTTAGCCGCGAAAAAGAGAAACGGCTGGAAACCAACCCCAAAAGAGTTCAAAGATATCTCCAAGGCCTGCGTAGAACACGGTCATGGAGGTCTTTGGAACATGGAATACAACGAAGACGAGTATGTCTCGTTAGATATGAAACATTGTTGCCCAGCATCTTTCAAGGGTTTTGGGAGATTGTAAGGAATATTACGATAGATACGGACATCCGGACTCTCAATTCTTTAGGGTGTCTCTAGACGGCAGCTACGACGCGCCAGCAACGGGGTTTGTCAGATTAACGTCTTGGAAGTTGGCTAAAGACTTGCACCCCATAATTTACGCATGGTACGKGAAGCATCTACAAGAGAAAGAATGGATACCAGTGCYATTGTTAAAGTTCTTAGAAGAGCGCGAACTCTTATGATACACAGCGCATGAAGCCATACTTTGCCATAGCGCCTACATGAAGTGGCTCCCAGAGCACAACCCAACCGCCCGAATTATCAGGCAAATTTACCCAGGGCGCCAAAGAAGGCGAGAAACACATGCAACGGCGTTTAATAACAGACGAAGGAGAGTTAAGCTTCCTCATAAAACGTGCCCACGATCAAGGAACAATGGTGTCTGTAGAAAAATGGGATTACCTCGTAGATGATGAGCTGCATAAATGGAATGCGCTGTGTTATTACCAGGACCATCGACCGCAGTATTACCATTTGCGTGCCAGCATGTTAGCCTACGCGCACATTAACCTTCTCGCAATGCTCTTGCGGTTTAACAAAGCGTAGCCACGGATTCCCTATACGTGAAACCGCACGTATTGGAAAAGATGAAGGAATTCTACACTGCCGATGAACTCGCAGAAAGTGGACAATGGCGCGTTAAAGATGAGGAGATAAGAGCCTGGAGGGCACGTGTAGAATATCACGGAGAACACACCCGCGGTTCCATTACGCCGA